TTGGACATGTCACTATTTTTGTAATAATTAAAAATGTAAACAATTACACAGTAGGAGACATGAATAGTGGTGATGTGAGTCATAATAGAATAATTATTTGCGCCGTTTTTCCTCTTGTCTAGTTTATATTAGTTTTATACTAATCTTTTTGCCAAGGATCATCTCTAATTTGCAAAACTCTGCGAGAATGACACAAGAATTTCTCAAATGTACTTACGTACCCATAAGGCTTGCGTGTTCACAAGCCTAGGCTTGACTCATTTGTCAAACAAGTATCAATATATAACTGAGACTTGGTTGATAATTTAGGTAAACAAGCACATAACCAAGCCAAGCCCGAGGTTTATTTTCAGCCCTACTTGGCCTGTGCTTCTAGTAATTATCAACTCTGTGTCATGCCTGCACGTATGAAGTCATTTCATAGAAATGCACATACCTCCAAAATTTTGTTGCATGACATACCTATAAATTTGTTGTGTCATTTTAAAGTGCATACATGGAGCAATATGTATAATTTTTTAATTTAATCTGTCTTTTTTTTTTCTCGAATTCACATATAATGTAACACATAAACTAAAAAATCTATACGACCTTAACGACACATGAGTATTTCTTAAGTATTATCTACTGTCATATGTCATTTTAGTATAAAATGAGTCAATTACGCAATAAATCGTGGCAATAAGAATTTCTAACTAAACCAACTAGTTAAATCTTTGTTTTAATTTATTTAATTAGTCACTTTCACTTTATGAATATACTATATAATCAATACTTTCATGAAAGTAAAAACTACTAATTTTTTGTATTATTATTAGAGAATTTATTAAAAATTATAATTAGGAAGTTGTGAGATAGTAGTAAAAAGATAGAATACATTTTACTATAGACGTATCTTGGACTGTATTATAATTTTTTAGGTTTTGTCTTATCAATATATCTTAATCGTATCCATATCTGTATCCATGCTTACTTTTTGGGCACACTTGAAAAATCATTTGGAGTGGCATTGTTGGTGGTGAATCTTATCAATTAGTCGCTCTCTAGTGGTGCTTCTCATTTTATTGATCATCTGGATTGATACTGTTTCAGGTTTGACTGTTCAAGCTAATATGTATTACAAAGTACTCATCAACTGGACCAGCCAAAAGGTGAAAGATACATATGCTACTCGCAATGCATTCGATTTTAAAAATGGTACCTCTGCAAATTCAATTGTTGACTTCCAGAGTGATGGTGATAGTTGTTCTGTAATAGTTTATATAATTTTTTTGGGAAATGAAGCTTTTAATTGTGTTTAGACTCTAGAGTGCTTAGTCAGCCAGAATCGTATAAATTTCCTGGTGTCACATATCATGGCAAAATTTTGAAAATTTTGTAGTGTTTGCTTCCTTGTGAATCACACTAACTCGAGTGAACATGTTAAATGTTGAGAGCTATCTTTAGCGTGAGCACTTGAATTGCGCAGAACATAATCACGCAAAACACAAGTTTACTAGCTTTGCTTTCTACTCTGAATCTCATATAGTCACACTGGGCGACTCCAATTTTTTGCATCAAGTTGAAACTCTAATGGTCCTGCCATTTCTAGACTTTAAATTGCTTGTTTTTTTGAGATGATACATCACATTAAAATGTCAATTGAGTATTAAGCTTTGTTTGTCTTTCTTAACTCCTTTTTCCTTTGGATTTCCTTGTCCACACCTTTGAGCCATTCCCTTTTAGACTTTACACATAATTGGACTGTGGTAGGGGCATGAAATCCAATGTATACTTGCTTGTACCGGGTCTTGTGCTTTCTGTCATTTAATCAAAGCATTCTATTTATGGAGAAAACAATATCAATTGTATTTGTTAGATAACTGTGAAAACAGGTGTATCTGCAACAGTTTCCATTCACAGATACTTCTGTGGTCAATTAGCTAAAAAGAATGTACATTTCTTTCCTTCCACCCAACACCCTGTACCCTGCTTTTGGAATTCCCATACTTTTTATCACACTTCCTTCATTTTTCTAAACCATCTTTCCATGCCTTCAAGTTGGAAGTATATGGTATTCTAGGTTTTGTTTAGATAACTCTGCAACGTTCGTTGTCTTATAACCATGAGTTGCCTTGAACGAGCTGAAATTCAGGACTAAAAGAATTGTCTTTCAGCCAATGGTGGTCCAATGTGAAGGAGAAAAGAAGAGATAAAGACTCAATTCTAGCTATGAGATTAACTCTGAATGTTTGAGAAACTCAGCAAAAAAATTTTTGTTTATTGTTTTAGTGAACCTGAAATTAAGAACGACTATTTTTAAATTGTTTATGAAAACAATTTCTCCTCTATTAATAATTTTGACAACAAATGTTTTTATAGACATGCATTGTTGTGCTTTAGGTTTTGCTTATGTTCCCTGGTTCCAAGGCATTATTATTTAAATAAAGAATTCTGTTTCATCCATATGAATTATGATAGTTGAAGATCATCAGCGAAATATAAATGACTGTTTAAGTCATTAAAGGTTTTTCCACCTAAATTTCGATCCATCATTCACATAGCTAAGGGAACTGTTATAGGATGGCAAATTGCCAACTAGATGCTAGATCTCATAAAATTTAGGTAATTTCAGTGACATTATTTTACTCCCATCTCATTCTTCATGATTTGTGCAGTGTTATTTGTGATGCCCAAAAAACCGGGGGTTCTTTATCAACCCATTGATCATCTATCAACTCGCGGAATACTCATAGATAACTCATGGATATCGTGTAACTCGATATCACGCTGTTATGCTCCATTTATCGAGATCCATAATTTAACGAAATTCGGACAGTCTCCTTTGTACGGGGAGTTCTACCCAAAATATAACCTGTACAATCATACAACATTGATGTGCACCGGGTCCATTTATGAGTAAACATATAACAAAATGCAATTTTACATTAAAAATAGTCCATATGAATTCGATTACAATTCTTGTACATACATTACATGCCAAAAACTAAATTACAAGTCTAGTTTTACAAAAAACATTATTTAAAGCCACATTTTGGCTTTTCTTCAATATTTAGGCCCTGATTGAGAGCCTTCCATCGGCGTGAACCCCGCACCTAAAATGTTTCCCATATAGGGTGAGTCATGCTCAATAGGGTATCACCTACAGAGGCTACTCCCTAACCTAAGTGCATATGAAATGTTCACATGTAACATTTAACAAGCAACAACCATCCCAAACAAGAATATGCAATTCAATGTTGAAATTCTATCATGCCATGAAATGAGATGAGACTCACTCATGTACTTTGACCTGAGCCCTCACCGGTTCCCACAACACAATGCAATGCCAATGTGTAATAAATCCATCATTGATGACATACATCCAATGATCATTTTGAAATAAAAGTCATGTGTTTATAAAAACAAAATCATTGTTGGATATTACACATCGAATGACTATTTTATAAAATAAAATTATGTGTCTTTGTTGGGTAGCGGAGTTTTGGTGTCGCACCGCCGGTTCCGCACACCGATACACTTTTCTAGAATTTCACCACAGGAGAGTGTATAAATCAAGTAATTGGATCTTGCACCCGAGGGAGAATCTAGTCCTACTTGCTATACCTAATACAAGTTTTTCATGCAAACAATGCGACTCAGTCGAATCTTCAATCCAATTTTTCCCGAGTCCAAGTATCAATCACCAAGAATGACATTTGATAACTATGTATACACACCCACACTCATGTCTCATGCCCATGAATACGATGCCTCTGTGCAAATACAATGTAATGTAGCATTGCAATATCAATGTCATGCCCCATATGCAATGAATGTCATATGAGCCAATTTAACCACATTTAATATTTTCATAGCAAATTATATCCAGCATATAACTTCCATAAAGTCATCACAATACCAATATATCATAAGCATATACCAACATTCACATTTAACAATAATTTTTTTCAAGCATGTCATACATAATCTATGCAATGACATACTTAATTTTTACATAGGCATTTAGTCAAACACCTTCAAGGCACCAAATCATGTTATCACATAAAAATATCCATAATCATCACATAAATAAAAAAATCACATTTAGTGATTTCCACATACCTAATTATCAAAATTTCAAGAAATCACAATCTAGCAATTCTTATGTATTCAAGTCAAGATAGAATTTATTTTGCCCATTTCTAATACCCATTTCACATTTCAAATACAATAGACATTTGTTAAATCAAATCTAACGACCTACCCATTTCATACAATCATCCTAGGCTGGAAATAAACCTAAGTAGGATGAAAATCCTACCTCTTGAAGCGTAAAATTAACGTAGAGAGCTTCAATAATTCAATCCAAGCTCTAATCCAAGCTTTTTTCAAAATTTCATTTTTCGAACCTTCGGTGAAAGCCTTCGTTTTTGGTAGGGTTGTGTAACCTTCGTAGAGGAGATCGACTTTAATACTTGGCTCGAAGAATTCCGACTGGCGAAACTTCGTAGATCTAAGAGGAAATGTTGAAATTCTATTATTTTTCTCTCTTCTTCTTCCAAGGTTAAACCCAGCAGCAAACTAGAAGAGAGTTTTCTAAAAAATCAGATTTTAGTCCTTATTTATATACTTTAACGCTTGGTCCATGTCGCGCCACATGCCCCTCTTCCCAGGTCCGTTTTCGCCCTGAAACGATTAAATTTTACTCCAATTTAAGTTCAAATATTTTTATTCAACTTGTTTTAAATTATTTTTTAACTTTAAAATTTTATTAAAAAATTCGTTTTTGGGTCACTCAAGACCCGGCCGTCTCGTAAAATGTAAATAATCCGATTATCTCAGAATTCGATGAAATTTGTCTGGATAACTAGATTTCGCAAGACGAATCTAACGGTGAGATCCGTTTCGTCATCCGAACTCTAGAGAAATACGGGTTTTTAACTCGTACTATAGTGGCAAATTACTGTTTTGCTCTTTTTTATAAAAAAGTTCAAATTTTTTCGGGTTTTACATCATCCATGATTGAATTTGGCGATGTTGACTCAATTGAACAATGTCTTACCATATTGATGCCGATACATATTATATTAAAATGTACTAGGATAATACGTTGGTATACACACTGGGTAGTTGTTTCACTGATTTCATCACTATTTGGGATTTGGATGTTGTAGTTTGCATTTTTGGATCCTATCGTATCTCTACTAGATATTGATGAATTTCTTATGATCCTATCATATCTCTAATAACTCCCTCTCAAGTTGGTACACTAAAATTATCAGTTGAAGTGTTCAACTTGAACTGAAACACGGGGTGGTTGCTTGTCAATTGGATGATGTAGTTTTGGTGATAAACTCCTCCTCAAACTCCCTCAAGACATTAATTTTTTTTTTCATTTTTTTCTGTACTTTGTTTTTTTCATTCCACATGCAACTCTTCATTTTCACAAGATACCCCACTTTGAGTTATCCTCTTTTCAAGGTTTAACTTCCAAGAGTCCAACTAATGACTATGATGAACAAAGGTAGCCTAACTTGATGTTTGTTACAAATCAAAACGTTGAAACAAAAGATAAGATAGCAAGCCGTTAAGTCACGGGTGGAGGATAGCGAATTATTGAAGTTGGTATTTGTTTTCAGCCATGCATATCGGTTTGCAGTAGTGAGACCCTAGCCAAGCTTAATGTCTTCAATAGGAAGATCAATTGATGTGAAGTATTGGTGAAGGGAAAGAAATTTAAAGTTTGGTCCGATTGACCCGCTCTGTTACCATGTAGAAATTGAGAAAATTTGAAATAAGAAAAAGAAAGGAAAATAAGAGTACCAAGAAATACATTATTCGGCACATAGCCTAACATCCTATGGGCTACATCTGATGTATTATTGAAGGTGCTTGATTTCATGGGGCTCAACCCTATTTATAGGGTGAGAATTACATATGATAAAGATAAGTATCATGCAAGTCCATCATCAGCCATATTTATCCAGATAACCTAAATATCGATGGTCTCTTTGAATCCTATCGTATCTCTATTGGATATTGATGGATTTTTTTAGATCCTATCATATCTCTAATAAAAATGTACCCGGATAATATGTTGGGTATTTTACTGATTTCATCACTATTTGGGATTTGGTTGTTGCAGTTTGCAGTTTTGACCGTTCCCTGATAAATGCTCCTGGACCTTGTGTTCTCTTTGCTACGCCAGGGATGATCAGTGGTGGGTTTTCGCTCGAGGTCTTCAAGCATTGGGCTCCCTGTGAGGCAAATCTTGTGACACTGCCAGGGTACCTTTTATGTTACAGTCATTGCTTAAACCCTTGACGACACAATTGGTTTTTGATTCACCGGCATAGTTTTCAAGCATTCAATTTAGAAATTGCAAATTAAACCTTCTTATAAAGTCTGATTGCCTTGCAATATGTGTACTCTGTGATGAAAGAGCCCTGACAAATCATAATGCTCTTTCTAAATCTCTGCCATTTCCCAGTCGTTGGACTATTATACCACCCCCTTGACTTCAGTTATTCAATGAAGCGAGGATTTTGATAGATACTCTTTTCAATTTTTAGCTGGCATCAAACAACAATAAATATGTATGCTTGGCTAGAGTGTTATGTTCCTGTACAACTCAGTTTTTGGTTTGTTAGTCAATTCACGATTTCTCTGGTAGGATCCTGGTCCTGCCTCTTCCAAACCATCGTTTGCAAACTTTGAGCAATAATCCCAAGTCCCAACTAAGAGTCTAAGTTTTAAATAATAAAAAAATGCATATTTCTAATGCATATGTTTTATTACCACTCTTATTGGGAGAGGCCAATTATATTGAACCCTAAGCCCAGCACCACAGGACCTGATCTCACTCCTTATTGAGGAAAATTTTATGTATTTTAACATGGGCTTTCCCATCAAGTTAGTCAATTTTGGGACTGTTGAGCTACATATTGTAACTTTAATTCCTATATATGTTGGAAATACAAATAGATTGTAGTCAGTACAAACATGCCTACTTAAGAGATTTTCATTATTGTCAACTACATCTTTTGTGGCCGTAGCCGTGCTTGGAAAAAGACAAGCTGTTTGAGGATCACTTGCTGTCTAAGTGGCACAAATCTTCCAAAACTTGCATGAAATATCATACATTTTGATCTGTTTAGTGATTTAAAAATTCTAATTGGTAATTCAATATATAGAAGAAGGTCCTCCTGCTAACCCCTTCTGTGTGCAAATAGCATGAAGCATAATTTCATATATAGATGCATTTTGAACTAGAATTTTGGTTTGAATTTTCTTTATTAACACTAAAAGCAAAGTTGAGAGTATTTAGATGTTCCAATTGAACTCTCAATTGAAAATTTTGTAATTATTTACATGTGTGAGTTCACTAGTTATCTTTTATTTCCAGTTCACCCCCCTTCTCTGCCAAGCGGGTTTGGGCATGTAAGTGCTGTAATGAAATTATAGTTCTCAAGTTGCAGTTTATTAATGTTTCTTCTTGTGTTCTTTCCTAGTTACTGTGTGGCTGGAACCGTGGGGCACGGATTGATGTCATGTAAAACACCCACCAAGGTTAATGTGGATGAAGACACCCAAATTGATGTGCGATGCAAGGTTCTTGATTATTACATACTCTGCAGAATACAGCTACCCTTGTTTACCTTATTTTTCTAGACATATGTGTTCTGTAAATTTTGTATGTTATCCCTTTTCTTCTTTTTTTGGCCTGGATTTGAATAACGTATCCTTGCTCTAGAAATGTTCATTTGACTGAGATATCCATAATCTTTTTTGTATCTATGGTCTCTTAGCCACAAAATTTGGAACAGCATTGTTTGAAATTTTTGAAGTCGATGTCAACTTGGGAAGACTGGGATCATAAAAAGTCTGGTTCAAGCCAAAGTCTAACTCAATTCCCAAAATTGAAACAAATAAATAAGGAATGCTAAGATAACTTTTTGGTGCTTTCTTAGGACTTGAAGCAAAGTGGGGATATTTATATTCAAAACTCCTTTTATTGATATTCTCTCGGACGTTTCTACTGCACAAATGTTTAGTTAAGTAGCCCTATTTCATATTCTCGTTCTTTGTGTTGTGAACAGCTTCCAGTTGATACTTCTAGATGTATATATCTAAATTGAAAATGTATTCTTGAATCAGGGTGAAACCCAATTCCTACTAGGATTTCAGCAAAAACCCAAACGGCGAAGTTAACAGCCTTAATTCTTCATTTAGATCCTTTAGCCAACCACTCTTTAGTTTCTCACTTGATAGCTCTGATCTACACTCATTTTAAGTTCTGTGAAGCAATTGGAAGATGGTTCTTGGTTGTGTTCTATTGAATATTTTGATTTAGGGAAGAATCTAACCTTATTTCATGTGTTTAAATATATATAAAGTATAAACATTGTAGCTCTTTATGGTTTTTTGCGTTTATTTAAAAAAGCTCTGCAGATATACTGTTCATGAATCGGAAAAATCACTTTGAGGAATCTCTTAGGTGCTGGCTGCTGAGAGGTCCACAAATCTAGGATCTTTCAGTTGCTTATTTTGAAGGGATCTGAAAGAAGAGGCATATGTGGGTTCTGTGCTGGCCCTTGTGGAACATTCCATTTCCATGCTTTACAGTGTTTTATTGTGTTGTTTGCAAATGTCCTAGATGGGGTGAAATTGGACTTACATAATTTTTCATTTTCATTTTATCTCTGTTGTTTCTGCACATCTACTTTCATTGTTAGGGTGATTCAGTTGATTAGCTCACAAACAGTATTGCTAATGTAGTTCTAGTGTGAACAATAGTATGATGACTACCTAGATTGATCTAGAGCAGTATAGGTGCACAAACTGATACTTGCTGGCTCTGGTCAAGTAAGGTGGAGCCCGGTTGACTAGCTCAAGGGGCTGCAACTAGTTATTCAACTTCATCACATAATATAAGTTGTAATGATACCTTCTAATTAAAGAAAGACTGAGTGAATAAGAGAGGATAAAGAAAGTCTTGTGGCTTTAAGAATTAAGATGGCCTTGTTAAGCTTGTGACATACTAAATAATTTAGTCATTTAGAGGTCAAAATTGTACCTTTTTGCACAAGACTCCATATGTTTGTTTTTAAAACACTTATTTTATTTACACAATTATCTACTCCAATGAAAATAAAAAAAATCATATATGTAGCTCTAGTTTATCTCCTTTGTATACTAATCGTACTAGAGCAACAACTGGTTTTATTACGGGATGTTCATATCGATCTATTATGCGCTTTTGCATCTAGCATTTGGTAGATTTCATACAATAACTGTCCTAATTCTGCTGTATCTTTTGTTTCATTTCTTTTGGAAGAATCACAGACACTTTTTTGGTTATGGATCTATTATCAGAAATTTAATTCGTAATCTCACCATTCAATGTGTATTCTTGAATAGTCTCAATCTTCAAGTATTCAACCATTTCATGTTTACCAAGTTTAATGTTAGCCAGATTAGTCAACATTTATATGTTTCGATGCAACAAGAAGATGTTATTTGTAACAAGTAGCATATCCAAAATGTATCCGAAATTAAGATATTCTAAAATATTCAAGATGTATCAGGTAGAATCTGATACATATGTCGTATAAGTTATAGACTTATAGTATAAACTTAGATAAATGTTTATTTACTAGAATACTGGATGCTTATCAAACTGGGCTTGCCTTGGTTAGTAGCCTGCCCATTTTGGTCTCACCTGCCTACCGACCCGTGCTGGCTGCTTTAGAGCTGGCCAGCAGGTTGAACAACAGGGAATATTGAAGAATTGTGTAGCGTCGGTAGTGATTGCTTTTGTACCCATGGGTACAGATTACAATGACAAGTTCTCGAGGATATAGATATTACAACCTTGGTGAATTATGGGTGCTTTCCAGCGGCATGTTGTATACGGCTACAGGCATCCTTACTAGAGGGACATTACTTATTCTCTCTTATAGAGGGTATAACTTAACGTTACCAGTATAGTGGGTTGTTTTGGCACGGTTATCTGTTATAATACTCCATGCAAAACGCAGTGCTATGGGGTTTAACTTAGCTAATTCACTTTGGAACCCTTGTCTGGATCACTTTTATTATAAAACTAAATGATATGTAATTATACATCTACACACATAATTCATTGATATTAATTTTATGATTGCAGAGCAATCCAAAATCCAAAACAACATACTAGCTAATGATTGTGAGTAATAATATTCAATAGTTTTACATATTTGTAACAACAAATCAAAATATAAGTTACAAAACCATCAAAATAAAGAAATAAAGCATCTAGAAGAGATTTGGGTTACTCTTTTGGCCAAGAAATTTTGGCAGTCTAGATCCCGAATCCGCCCTCTTTGGGGCCGCGCAACCCAGATTGTGGAATATTGGAGTACCCGCGATTCCTTATTCCTAGTATAACTTAGGAACATTTTGGCCTTTGTATATATGATACAACACTGCTTACTATATTAGTTTGCTTCTTTCATTCCAAAAACAATGTTCTCATTGGTTACATCGGCCCACAATGTGCTATGAAAGAAGAAAGTATAAGTACAACAATGATGCTGTATACATATTAAATCATATTACATTCTATTGGGGATTAATTTATATTTTTCTGGTAATGGAAGTGGGAAGTTGGGTACCTTCTGGCTTCACCCTGATAGAAGTACAAATGAATGTGCAATTATATGTTTATCTCCTCAAAATTTAGTCTTCCATATTTCCATGCATGTTGTGCAAGTAAAATGGCCCTAATCTATTCATCATCAATTTTCATGGACAGTAACAGTTGCAATTGCATATGTTTATATAATAATCGTGCCCCTTTTAACTTTCAAAATTGGACAAATTTTACCTCTTTTCTTGATATGATATCTTGTTTTCTGGATGATTTTAAATGCTTTATGTTTTGAAGTTAGATGTATATGTTCTAGAATCATCCTAATTTTTAATTTAGGTATTAATATACTTGTGTGTTTGGCACTTTTGGGATTGCAGATTCATCAGTTGTCATTCAGTCCTCATACAGATGCCAAAGGAATCATGGATCTTATCAAATTTCTTGAGCCCAAGCATGTGATACTTGTACATGGTGAAAAGCCTAAGATGGCTGACCTTAAAGAAAGAATTCAATCTGAGTTGCAGATACAATGCTATTATCCTGCAAATAATGAAACTGTGTGCATTCCTTCAACTCATTATGCAAAAGCAGATGCAACAGACACACTTATCCAAAGTTCATTGAGTCCAAAGTTCAAGTTCCTCCAAACAAGTTCGAGAGAGAACTCTGATTTGGGTTCCACAGACTTCAGGGCAAAGTCTCTGCTGCAAGTACGTGATGAAAGAGTAGTTGAAGGTATCATGGTTATGGAGAAAAACAAGAAGGCCAAGGTTCTACACCAGGATGAGCTTCTGGTCATGTTGGGAGGAGAAAAGCATGAAGTAAAATTTGCTCATTGCTGTCCTGTAGATGTTAGAAGCTTGCAAAAGACCCAAACCAATGATCTTTCATCTGGAGATTTGCCTCACATTTTGAAAAAATGCTCCTTGCTGCACCTACTATTTGCAAAACTTTCAAATCAACTTACTGAATTGGATATCCAAGATTGCAGGCAACATCTTCAAGTAGAGTCTTTCCATGTCTCTGTTTGTTTGAAGGACGACTGCCCTCACAGAACTACTGATAGTACTCCCGACAAAGAAACAATATATTTCTGCTGCAAGTGGTCGATGGCAGATGACAAGCTTGCTTGGAAAGTCATTTCTATCATGAAGAATCTCAATGCGAGTGTTATTTAGAGGTACTCGTTGGCTTCTGTATCTGTTGGCATAGGAAGTAGTTTGTCCTTTTTGAAAATATAGGTGAACGTATCACCCTGAGGTTATGTTTACTACACCGATCCCATTGATGGAAAAGGCTGAAATTTGACAACCGACATATTTATTCTCGTTCATCTTCTCCAAAAGCATAAACAACAAACACTGTGCAACGAAGTTGTTATTGATTTTATATATTGCAGAAATGTTCAATTTTCCTTGTCAGTTATCTGATAGAATCTTTTCTCATGTAGTTCAAGGAAGGGTTAATAGTATTTTTTCTCTCTAAAGTATGTATTTTTTATCAGTTTAAATTTCAATGTATCAATTTTATCAATTTATTTCATAAAATATTCAATTTGCGTCATTTTAGTCTTCACATAAACGGATCGTTAAGTTTTTTGACGGAAGTGGTTACGTCATTTTAGACAATACTTGCTGGAAGATTTACCAACTCTCATATATGATTCTTCATAACGGATTTAATTTTAAAATCAACACCTTTTTTCTGATAAAGAGGATCAGGGAAGGACATAACTTATTTGAAATTTTTTAGGATTATTTTTTAATAGATAGGTTAGAAAATCATAATCAAATGACTTTGAAGTTTTTGTCCTCTTATTACGTTTAGGTTCATCTTTAATGAACTCTTTATAGGTTAGAAAATCATAATCAAATGACTTTGAAGTTTTTGTCCTCTTATTACGTTTAGGTTCATCTTTAATGAACTCTTTATTTTGACCATTATTAGTTATAGTCTTAATTGTTCTCTTTAATGAGTTTGATTCATGTGACATATTAAATGAAAAATTATTTTCAAAGAATGACGTATTCCTTGATTCAATAATTGTATTAATATGGACATCACAGATCTTAGATTTATGAACAAGAAATTGATATGCACTGAATAAATACACAATCAATGGTTTCTAGTCTTATCTTAATTTTTTTAGGTTCAGAAATTGTCATTTTTGTTAGATATCTTCACACTTTTAAGAATTTATAAAAAAGTATTCGACATTTTCATAATTCATATAGTGTCTTATTAGTTTTCTTATGAGGCCTATTTCGATTCTAGTCTCTAAGACAATTTTTCCCTATCCTGGTGGTGAAAAAGTTAGTGAGCCCCTATTTTATTCCAAAAAAAGTGAAAGTCTTGTGCATTGATTATTGAACGCTCAACAAGGCACCTTGTTAAGAACATAAATAATAGATAATAAGACTTCCTCCAACAAGTTTCGAGGTATACCCAAACTTGACAACATAGCATTTATTATTTATTTCAATGTTCGATTTTTACGTTTAGTTACACCATTTGATTGCGGTGAATAAGGGGTAGTTATTTTGTGAATGATTCCATGTGTTATACAAAACTCTTCAAAAGAAGATTCATATTCACTACCCCTATCACTTCTTAGTGCATTTATCTTTCTGCTAAGTTAATTCTCAACTTCACTTTTATAATGTTTGAATATATCAATAGCCTCATTTTACTTCTAATTAAGTAAACATAATCATCAATAAAAGTGAAAAAAAATACTTTTTATCACCTCTTGTTTGCACAAACTTTAAGTCACAAACATTATTGTGAATTAATTCAAGATGTTTGGTACTTATTTCAAATGACTTGAAAGATGTTTTTGTCAACTTTGATTCCATATAAGTTTCACATTTATAATTTGGATCAATTGACATCTTAGACAAATCATTCAAATTAATTAAATTTTTAATTACATCATAATTAACATGTACTAGTCTAGCATGCCATATATTAGAAGACTCAAACAAATAAGAAAAATCCAACTCATCCTTATTATTAAAAGATGTGGTGACAATAGTTATTACATTGAGCTTAAAAAACCATCACTATTTATTCCTTCCGTACAAACATTTCATTCTTTGTAAGTACAAACTTATTAGATACAAATACTACAAACTTAAAGTCATTCTTGCTAAGTAAGGAACCGAGCACTAGATTCTTGCGAATATCTGGGACATGAAGCACTTCATTCAAGGTGAGTTTCTTGTTAGATGTCATATTGAGTATCATCTCTCTACTTCTTTCAACCTTAGAAGTAAAGGAATTCCCCATATAGGGTTGCTCATCATTCTCTAGTTTTTTATAAATAGAGAACGTCTATTTGTTAGAACAAATATGCCAAGTAGCACCGGTGTCCACTACCACTTATTGGGGTTACCTACTAAGTTGCGTTCTGAAACAACTGCGGAGAGATTAATGTCGTTGATTTCAATAGAAAGTTTGTCCAATCTAGTCATATTTGCTTGAGTATTAAGCTTCTTGAAATTCTTTAGCTTACGACAGTATTTTGAAATATGCCCCGGTTTGCCACAATTGTAGCACTTGCCCTTGTATATCTTCGATCTTTGATTTATACCTTTGTCATTGTGCTTCATTTTCTTGTTTGTCTTGGTTCCACTTTCAACTATGTTGGCTTTAAATTCCACAGAATTAAAAATTCCACTTTTCTTCTCGAATTTATGGTTATCCTCCTCGATCCTCAAGAAAACGATCAATTCTTCAAGTTATATCTCATTGCGCTTATGCTTGAGATAGTTCTTGAAATCTTTCCATAGGGGTGATAATTTCTCCACGATCGCAGCCACTTCGAACGACTCTCTAAGAGACATACCCTTGGCATGAATGTTATGAAGGATAACTTGAAGTTCTTGAACTTGGGATATGACAGTCTTGGAATCCACCATTTTAAATTTCAAGAATTTACTAACAATGAACTTCTTTGTGCCGGTATCCTCAGTCTTGTGTTTTTCGTCCAAGGATTTTCAAAGTTCTTTTGCGGATTTGACAACACTATACACATTGTATAATGTATTGTCTAAGCCATTGAAGATGTAATCTCTACACAAGAAATCCGAATACTTTCAAGCATCGACAACAACCACATTTTCCACTTTAGTTTTATTCTCATCAAGTGAAGGAACATTTGTCTTAATAGACTTCTCAAGATTAAGGATGGTGAAATAGAAAAACATTTTATATTGCCAACGTTTGAAGTTCAATCTATTGAACTTCTCAAGCTTCTCCCCCTTAGACACACTCACGGTTGTACGAAATACTGCAAGAGGAACAAAATCATTTGAAGTTGTCATTTCAATTAACAAACAGAAGTAATAATTTAACAATAAAATCAACAGTCTAACAAAATACACAATTCTGATTGTGACAAGTATAGTAATTAATCAAAGTAAAGCAGTTACAAAATATAAAATTCTATTTTAGATTTATAGCATTACTTAATCTAATTATAAAATGAAATTCTATCTTACGGTTCTAAAACTAGAATCCAAAATTGGAATCGATTAAAATGGTAATGGGGCAATCTATTTATAGAACCTTAGTTGTTGTTTCGATCGACTGAAAAGGTATGAGATGTCACTGCTCAGATTGAAGAGACACATTCTTTAATTTGAACAGGCAAAAAGTATCTCTTGAGTGAACAGTCTTTTTGTCATTTTCCCACGAGAAGTAATAAGAAGAACTATAGAATGGATTGCTACCTTTGCCTAGATCGCGGATATATTCAAATTTTATTGCCACCTTTCTCTCATGGTACTGCTTTGTTATCGGTCATCCAAGAGTATTTAGTCTTGCAAGGTGGTCCTTAGTGATTCACACGCTTTATTTTATTTGAATTTTCGTATTTTGTTTAAGCTGGAGTTCAGTAATCTTTCTACAATCTTGACATAAAATAAAGTGAATAAAATTCATGAATAACCCTCATCTCGATCGTTACATAAATTTACAATTATTCATTGAATGAACCAAGCTCAATTTCGATGCCAAATTTAAAATAACGGATAGAAAATTTAAAAATCCAGTTGGATTTAAGTTTTGATTGTGATTTTAATTACAATCCGCGTTTGGATTTGATTGGTTTGACCCATGACCCAAACCGCTCTAAATAAAATTTGTCTAAAAAGATTATATTTTTTTTGCCCAAGTTCGGCCCGGCTGGGTGGGGTTATGACGTGGCGGGCAGCGAGTCTGTGGTAACAAGGTAGTATAGGTGCTTGCTCTGCTCACAAAAGTGTGGTACCTCTTGGGGTCAAGCTCATGAAGCCAACTAAGAGTATATTAACTTATCAAAATGTTAATATTCTTCTAATGTGGGACAAGCCTTATTTCACTACATTTATCTTAGTTTATTTCATCACTTCAAATGGATCACTTTAAGACATAATTTCTCATTCAATATTTAATGAGTTTAGACAAATAAATATATAACGTTTATCTCCTCGCGAAAGAGAACACGTTTAAACTTTGTCCCATCAATTTCGAGATATGAGTCTCACTTTTATTTAAGCTTCAAGATGCTCAAAAAATCTTGTTTAAAACCATTTTTTCCAACAGACTCGTTAAAAGGCTGGGTTGAGGCACGCGTTGTTTCTTTTTTTTGGCTTTATTTTTAAAACAAATTTGCTATAAAAAATAGAAGCACATCAAAAACACATTTTAATTTTTTATTTTTTACAAAATTTGAAAACAAAAATAGAAAAAATAAAAACAACAGATTACCAAAAGCAACCTTAGATAAACAAAAAGACGCACATATTTGTTATTATTTCACTCTCTATCTAAAATATGAATGAGAAACGCAAATAAACTATATTTGACACACGGATAAAATTAGGAGAATTTGATTGTTGTAATCAATAAATATTTAGTATAATGATAATAACATGTCATCATCTACCATAACAGAATAAGAAAATTCAAACTGGGAGATCAAATAAAACTAGTTACAAAAATTAAAACCTTAAGAAGGGGAAAAGGGGGGGGGGGGGGGGGAATAACATAAAAAATAGAAACTTTGGTCCTAAAACTTGGGGATAAAAAATTCCATATTTGAGACCTAGGGAACCATGACGCCCAAGGCCCCAACAGTCTAACGTTACCTAAGTATAATACTATCATACAAAAACAAGTCAACACAAAGATATAGTGAAATCATATACATTCCAACAATTACCTCATTCAGCATCTATTACTATTATAAAGGGGGAGTACGATCCTTCATTTTTCCCAAATAATCACACAAACTCCTTCTTTAGCCCTACTTAACTGCATCCCTCATAATTATCTTGTATTTCTGTCTAAGTAACCACTTATAACTCTTTTTTTTTTAACTCCACTCAATTGCTTGATTTGCTCTCGGTTTCTTCTCACTCTCATATTTCTCTCTATATTACACTTTTATAATTGATTTTAACATGTAACCGTGCGTCGAGGTTCACTATATATGTAATAGTTTATTATAGACAGAGATATCATATATCGATCATCACGTTATATCGCCATTTTATTTAAATTTAGGGATCGTGTACATAGCAATACTTGTGTACAGATAAGAAGAAACGAAAAGTGTGGGAAGAAAATAGAATAAATATATTTTATAAGAATTATTGTTGGTTACATGTGATTGATAGTACAATTAAGTAACTAATGAGTCTTTAGTCTAATGATATTTCTTGTCTTATAAAAGTTTTGTCTTCTTGATAAAATAGTACAATTAAGTATATTTAAGAAAAAAAATAAATGACATTATAGACATTTCGCAGGAGAACACCCAACCCCACCCTCTGCCTCCATTAGTAATACAGATTTACTCATTGTAATCCATACTCAAGGAACCCTCTGCCTCCACTAATAAAATAGATTTACTCATTGTAATCTATACTCAATGATCAAAATATTGTTTCGAAAAGGTTGAAATATTTGAAATGTTTTCGTTTTCAAGGAGATCAAAAAAAATCAGTGATGAAATCGAAATTCTAATATTTCAAGGTATTTCATAATATTTCAAAATATTTTGTTATATTTCAATACTTTGCACAATTATTTTGGAATTTTCAAGGTATTTCAAAATATTTTGGTATATTTTGATCAATATTTTGAAAAAATAATTCTTAAATTTTTTTTTTTTTTTTGTCGAAACGGGTTAAAATGTTTCCAAAAAATATCGAAACGTTTTAATTTATTAGGTGACCGAAATAAAACACCAAATAAAATTTTGATCATTGTCTATACTCTAGGACCATTCAAAAAAAAAAAAACTATACTTAAGGGGCCAATTTGATATTTGGTACGGAGTTTTATGGACTAAAATGTAATTTTCCCTTAATAAACCGGAATATATCTTAAAAACACGCCAAACAGGTCCCTTTCTCTCTCCTCAACGTCAACACGTTGAACCCCATCAACCCTTCAACGCAGCAAACAATCAAACTTTGTAGAATAACAAAGCTTTTTTTGTGTTATACAGTTGTATGCACACAAAGTGAATGACTTATTCTTAATTAAATAAAAAAATTACTTAAAATATATATACACTAGGTAACCTGTGCCTTAGTCACAGTGCAATTCAAAAAAAAAAAGTGTGACTTCTCTGACAATGGAGTGACAGGTGAGGCGAAAGAGGATGGAATAGATTTAGGAGAGAAAATGTGTGGAAGATAAAATTTTAAAATAGTCAGATGTTTTATTATATAGATTGTTCCAAACATTTACGAAACAACCTCGTTCTGTACACCAAAACAATGTCGTTTTTCCCAGCAGCACCGCTGACATCTGTGACCCTCGTAAAATCCACCTATATAACAAAGCCATCGAGGCTTCTGGTCAGCATCTCCCAGAACAAAATTCAAATAAAATGTCACCATCGCTCCTAGCTTTCTCTCTCTCTCACCTATTTCTCACCCTCTCTCTCTAGACTAGGCTCTTCAAACATGACCGAACTTTCTTCAACCCCAACAGAAGCAACGACCGCACCGCTCCTCCAGCCAAGGGAGGCGGCCGATGCTGGAGAATCGCCTCGGCCGACGACGCTAGCGATGCTGCTTGGACGGGCCTCGGGGCGACGGGGCCCGTCGATGCTTGTCCGAGAGACTGCGGCGCGGCAGCTGGAGGAGCGGCGTGCTGATTGGGGGTACTCGAAACCAGTGGTGGCGTTGGATATGATGTGGAACTTGTCGTTCGTGATTGTGTCGGTCGTTATGTTGATTGCTACGGTGGAGGAACGGCCGAATGTGCCGATTAGGCTTTGGATTTGTGGCTATGCTTTGCAGTGTTTTGTGCATGTGGTATTGGTTGGGGTGGAGTATAGGCGAAGGAATACGCGGAGAAGGAGGACTCAGGAGACGGTGATACAACGGGCGGGGTGGAATTCGGATGCGAATGATAGCGAGGATGAGGAAGGCAGTTTTGGGGCTTCGAATCAATCGAGGTTAGCTTCGAATTGAAATTCAATTTTTAGTTTCGTATTTTTGAGCATATCTTCGAATTTTAGTTGTAATTATTGATCTAGTGTAACCCGAGCGCAGAACATTTCACGTATATGGTTAGACTATAATTTAGGGGTTCGATAATTGTATGACCTGGGTGAAATTAACTTCAACTACGTGTAAATTAGACTTACATTCTTAATTATAATAATTGTTTTGGGGCGTACTTTGAGCTTCCTGAGGACTAATTCAATGACCGACTATAATTGGTTGCAGTGATGTAGTGGATGGTTATGTTCATTTCTTCATTTTGCTTGCTCTACTGATTCAGAGAATGAAACATTAAGGCACCTCAGGCTGAAAAATTGGGTTATTTGAGTTCAATTAAGTTTAATTTTTGGGTTAAATTAGGTAATGAACTTGGTGTTTTTTGATTAGGTATTAGGATTTACCAGATTGGACAACCCCATCTATCACATACTCATCAAAATGGAGAAGAAAGGCAAATCTAAAATCCATGTCTCCTCATTCCTTCTTTGTTTCAGGTATTGAAAAGTAATAAGCCTAAACTTATTCCATACAATATTTTTTTTGGATGGGGTATTGAATGATGGATAACTATTAAAATTACCAAAGAACACCCAAATTATGAAGCATGGACACGGAATACGAGTACAATACAATACGGCCATATGATAGAATATAAAAAAATTAGATACGAGTACGACCAAGATACGTCTATAATAAAATATTTTATTTTATTATTTTCAACCGACTTGATGCTTATATATTTTGGTAGTTTTTTAACATACAATAAAAAAAATTAGTAATTCTTTTTAGTGTCAAAAAAATATATAGCGTATCACTATAATATATTCTTAAAGTGAAGTAACTAATTAAAGGAATCAAAGTTAATATTTACCTAGTCGGTTTATTTATAAGTAATTTTTGTTAAGATTATAATATAATATATTTATTTTATGCTCTTTTGAAGTATAATTGGAGATAATATTAAAAAACATACATGTGTTTTTGAAATAGTATGAATTTTTGTTAATGTATTGGATGGTATGTGAATTTGAAAGAAGATATTCAAAATTTAACTCAAAAATTATATATATTGCTCGAACACAAAAGTATCTGTGAAGTATCCTAATATTTAATTATTATCAGATACGTAGAAGGTGTATCCGATATGTATTATTTATTATCTGACAAATATCGTATTTGATACAATATTCGATACGGGTACGTCTTCCACAATGAAATATCCATACTTCATAGCTCTCAAGTTAGTCCAATCCTAGGGTTTCTTAGGGATAAAAATGTATTTTGTTTCAATAATACTCCAACCCGGATTCCTTAACTCATCAAATAAATGGATTCAATTTAGAAGGTGTATGTGGGAATATAATTACTATTCATGTGGGCCTTGGACTAATTTTAAGTGATAGTACTAGACCCAAATTATGTATTCAAATTTGGGAATACATGGAATAAGATAGGCCCCAAGAGTTATTTTTTTCAATCCTCATTCCTAATCCTTAATCCAAACACACCTTTAGGGCCTGTTTGTTTTGTGGGTTTGGGGGGGGGGGGATTGGTGTTCCATGTTTGGATTAAAAATTCAATCTTGGGTTCCTAAACCTAGCCCGCAACTAGTTCGGATATTAAATCCATGATCATGGATTTCGTCAAACCTAATAGAGGTGAGTTTGAGAAGATGGGTTGAGGGATTAAGGGGTTAAGGATGCAAAAGATAATTGTACCCCTTAACAGTATAAATTGGATTAATCAAGGGACAAAATAGTCATTTACATGACAAATAGTTGTTAATAATTATGATATATCCGTATGTTCTACACATATATGTGTTGCATACCAAATATGTGTATGGATTGGATTCATTGTTGAATTTCATATTTGTAAAAAAGGTTTGGGTTTGGGAGGGTTTGGACCAAAAATCCATCCAAACCAGCCCTTAGGGTATCATAAGTTACTACTGTTTATTTTTCGGTGTATCAAAAACATTAATGAGTTTTTGTCCTGATGATATTGTTTGTGCTTGTGTAATTGTACCCAATGTTCATTTTTTTTCATTTACATTAGTGTTTTTGGGTTATGTGTAATGGAAATTAGGACACTTGAGCCTCTATATTGAATTTGTGAAATCTAGTTTTTATTTTTTGAAATTTGGTGAGTTAGACGAAAAGTTTAGAGATATGAGTATGCAATAGAATTATAAGTGAGTGATTGCCATTATTGCATTGCTAGAGGACCATAGGTGTGAAATCTAGGTTTTTTTTACTTGGAATAATTGTGAGTGAATAGGGATACAAATTAAGTGTAGAGCTTTGTATATATAGCCAAACAATAATATAAGAAGACCTGAACGTCCCTCTAGTCTAGGCAAGACATAAAAGTCATAGTAAGGGTAAAAAAAGAAAAAGAAAACCCTAACAAATTAGACTATAACTCTAACACTCTCCCTTAAGTTTTGCGCAAAAATGTCAACAAGACCAAGCTTGACAATGGAGTCCCGGAGAATGGATGGAGTGACACGTTTGGTGAAAACATTCGTAACCTAAGCACTGGTCCCCACAAACGATAGAGTGACAATACCACAGTTAACCTTCTTTTGAAGAAAGTGAACATTGATCTCTTTATGTTTCATCCTCTTGTGTAGTTCGCGGTTAGAAGTGAGCTAAATAGCAGATCGATTATCACAATATAATGTGGATGGAGAAGTCACTAGAAATTCTAAACTCGCCAAGAATCAACCGCAGCTAGATAATCTCACACAGGTCAAGTTTCAGTGTCTGATACTCTGCTTCTGCTAAAGAGCAGGAGATAAATGCCTGCTTTTTGCTCTTATAATGGACAAGATGAATCCCTCAAAAAATATAGAAGCCTGTAGTAAATCTTCTGTCATACACTCTCCTATTATCTGAATCTGAACAACAGGTTAGAGAACTAGTCTGAGATTTAGATGCATAGAATAATCTAAATCTAAGACAAGACTTTAGTTACCGAAAAATATGATGAACTGCATCAAGATGAGACTGACATGGTCTGTGCATAAACTGATTAACTCGGCTGTCAGTAAATGAAATGTCTAGCCTAATGTTAGCTAGGTAGATAAGTCTACTTACCAACCTCTGATAGATAGTCGGATCTCTCAACTCCTCACCTTTAGTAGTAAGCTTCAGGTTTAGAATCATGGGTGTGATGTCGGCTTGCACCCCAGCATCCCAGTGTCTGAGAGAATATTCAAAACATACTTCCTTTGAAAAAAATAATACCCCTGCTGTTACGGGCAACCTTAATCCATAAAGTATCGCAGAAATTCAAGGTCCTTTACATCGAGGTCCTTCTTAAGGTCTACCTTGACCTGTGTAGTCCCATAAATATTCCCAGTAATAATAATATCATTCACATATACCAAAAGGATAAACACACTGTCCAGATGTATTCCGTCGAATAAAGCATGTATGATCAGAATGACATCTGGTGAACCCCAAACGTATAACTACATCACTAAACCGAGAGAATCAAGCACGTGGTGACTGTTTTAGTCCATAAATAAAACTTACGCAGTCGACACACCTTCCAGCATACTCCCTCTCACCACAAAAATTCGGTGGTGCATCTATGTAAATAGTCTCGTCCAGATTACCGTGAAGAAATGCATTCTTCACATCCAACTGACGAAGAGGTCAAGGGTACTCCATAGCTAAAGAAATAATCAACCGAACGGTAGTCAACTTTGCTACTGGGGCAAAGGTAGCACCAAAATCATGATTTGGTACCTGAGTAAAGCCATTTGCCACAAGCCTAGCCTTGTGACGATCAATAATACCATCAGCAAAAAACTTCAGGATATAAACTCAGCGACAGACAGCAAACTTCATATCTAAAGGTAAAGAGACAAGATCTCATGTATGATTACGTTGAAGAGCATCTATCTTCGTCTACATGGCAAGAATCTACTGGGGCTCCTGCATAGTCTCTGAAATAAAGAGAGAAATTGGCGTATCTGATAAGATCATACTATAAGTTCGAAATATAGGAGACAGATCACCATAAGAAACACAATTAGAAATCGGATATAAAGTCTTGGCGGTCCAATCATAACGAACAACTGGATGACGATCTAAATCATCATCCTCTACTGACAACGTCTCATCAAGTAAAGTAATTGACTTATTATCTGTAATCTCATCAGTACTAACAACAAGTGCATTAATATGCTCAACGAACTGAGAGATATTACCTGCATCGCTTGAGGTGGAGGAGATATCAGTAGGGGAATAAGAGTGAGGGCGACGAACATAAACCTGCAAAAGAGGTGAAATTGGTGACAAAGACGAGTGACTCTGGAAGAAGAGAGACTGGTGACTCTGTAGTAATAATAACCAATGACTTTGGTTCCTGTGGTAACGAAAAATCAAAGGGAGTATCATCAACTAGAGAGGCAGACACAAGACTGGAAAAAAAGTGAGGAATATGCTCAATAAATATAACATCTACATTGTGATATATACAGTGCCTGAAAGGATCATAACATTAATACTCCTTAGACAGATGATAATAGCCCACAAAGACATAATGAATTATTTTATCATCAAGTTTATGACGAGTAGGAGATCTATTATGAGTAAAATATGTGCAACCAAAAACACGAGGGAGGAATGGAAAAAGTGTCCACTCAGGGAATAAGACCTGTAAGGGAGCTCTATGCTGAAGAACACGACTCGGTGTACAATTGTACAGAAATGTAGAAGTCAAAATAGCAAAATGTCAATAAGATTTTGGTACCTCCATACCTCTAAGCATACAACGTACCATCCATATTAGATTCTTATTTTTTCTTTTTGTAACTCCATTTTGCTCAAGCGTATATGGATAAATGAGCTGCTGAAGGATACCCTGAGAAGAAAGATGAGACACTAAGGCATCATACAAATATTCTTTGGTATTATCTGAACAAAGAGCACGAACAATGATATCGAATTGTGTTTTAATCATTTGAAAAAATTGAGTGATGACAGGGAGTACATCAGACTTCTTATGCAAAAGGTAGACCTAAGTACAATGGGTATGATCATCTATAAATGTCATATGATATCGAGCACCTGACAGAACAGTAACAGAAGAGAGTCTTCAAACATCAGAGTGTATTAGGTCAAATGATTTGGTTGACTGGTGCATACGAGGAATATAATTGGTCCTAACATGTTTCGATAGGAAACATATAACACAATCAAGTTTACCACTAACACAAACACTTCTCAACGCAGCAAATAACATACATAAATATTTAAATTTTGTATACCCAAAATGGTC